CCCGCCCCCTGCCCGGATGCACCCCCAGACCCGGCCTATCTCCTTCTCCTCATCCGCCCGACTGTGTCCACCCTCACCCAGGCCCAAAACCTTCCCGGGACTCGCACCCTCCCTGGACTGCCCTCCCCACACCCGCCCTACCCATCCGCCCACCCACGGCCCCTCCGTGGACCGGCCCCGCCCCTGCTCCTGGCACGCTGCGTCTCCGCGCCCTCTTCAACACCCACCGTGCAGGGCTTGCTGTGTCCTCCCCAACCGTCCCCAAGCGCCGCCCCCGACCTGGCGACCTGTTGAGTGCAGGCGGCCTGAGGAGCCGGGTCACTTGAGGAAGCTAAAGCTGGCCAGGGAGCGAACCTTCCAGACCCACTGCGGCACCCAGGCCCTTGGCGGCCTGTCCTCAACTTCTGCCGTTTCCCCATCCTCCGCCAGGCCCCTCCCTCTCTGAACCTCCTTTCCCCTCTGGCAAACATCGGGGGTGGGCTGGCACCCCTTCCTCTCCTGAGCAGGGTGTCCCTTCCTGCCCCTTCCAGGGTCCCCAGCTCAAAGTTTGTCCTGCTGTTGTAGGTCCCTCTGGTGGGGGCACCTCCTTTCTATGTCATGTTCAAGTCCTCTCCCCATCCTTCCAGTATCTCCCCACCAACTGGCCCAAGTCCTCTCTAGTGTTTATTGGGACTGAGTCCAAATGCCCGGCTGCGCTGAGGCTGCCTTGACGGCCCAGCTTCACCCTAGTTCTTTGGGCACCCTGTGCTGACCCCATTGCCAGCCTTTGCTTAAACTCTGACTCTTCCCTTCTCCTGTGCCTGCCCAATTCCTGCTCCTTCTGAAAGCTTCCCTCGCACCCTCCCTGCTCCTAGGCACAGTGGGTTCTCCAGGCAGCCTCCCCCACTAGCCTTCTACTTAGGCTTTGGGTCGAGCCCTGAGCAGTCAGTGGGAACTTCTGGACACACTGGACCTGCTGTAGCAGATGATGGAGGGGACTGTGTAGGAGCTGGAGTAGATGGGGAGCAGCAGGGTCAGTGACAGTGCTGATAGACCAGGAGGAGGTGCCAGCCCCCAAGCGCAGTCCACACTGGCACCAGGCAGGATCATATAGGAAAATCCTCAGTTCAGTCTGCCCTGCCCAGCCCAGCCCCTCCAGGGACCCCAAAGCGGGAGGGGAAACAGGCAAGGCGTGCCTGTATGCAGGAGCAGCTGTGGAGTATGACCCTCACTTCCCAGGAGAGCACAGCGATAATGTCTTGGGGAGCTGCCAGTGACACTAATGAAGCTAAAACTGCATGTGACCTCTGACCCCACTAAAAAGGCCAGGGATGTGGCCAAGGTGATCTAGCCAAGAGCTTTTGCAGCTGCAACATTAGGGGCAGTGAATAATCAGAAGCAGCCTGCATGACCATCAATGGGACAAGGGTCAAACAGATGCCACGTGTGATCCCCACAAAGCAGGGAAGGTAGGGTGCAGGGGGTGGGGGAGGGACAGCAGCAGAGAAAGGAAGGCAGGGAGGTGATTTCAACAAGGGCTTTCACCTCCCACTGCCTGGGGAGTGCAGCTAGGTGCAAAGGGAGAGTGTGGTTGTGGGGGGGTGGGTCTTCCTGCACCCTGTGTCCTCTATGCTCCCAGCAGGTGAGGACCAGGGCTACTGAGTTGACAGAGGATCAGAGGCCTCTGCACACAGCCAGTGTTAGCCCATTCCCAGGGCCTGGGGTCCAAGGTGGGCTTCAAAGGATGCTTCTTAGCTAGCCGCATCTGATCTCAGCAAAGAGCACGGGCAAGAGGGCTTTCCGGTTTTCCTCAAACCCAGAGAGTCCAGGGAGCCAACCTCTATATCTTCTCAAGGACTTCGAGGTGTCCAGAAAAGAGTGACAGACAGCTGGCAGGAAAAGCTGCTCAGGAGCAAGGTGCAAAGACTGCTGGGAATCTCTTAGGAGCAAAAAAAGCACCTTCCGGGGCACCTTTACAGATGGAGAAAAATCCAGGCTGGGATCTGCCCAGCACTCTCCCTGCTGCACGTGGAGAGGAGCAAGCATTCACCCTCCCCAACAACGACTGAAAAGTCTTGTGTGTGTGTGAGCGTGCGTGTGTGTGTGTGTATACATACCATACATGTGAGCCCAGCCTGGCAGGGGCATGGGAGCAAGAGCACAGGACAAGCTTTCTGTGGCTGCTGTAACAAATTACCATAAACTGGGTGGCTTAAACAACAGGACTTTAGACAACCCACAGAATGGGACAAAATATTTGCAAATCAAGTATCTGATGATGTATTAATATCCAGAATATATAAAGAGCACCTCCAACTCAACAACAACAAAAAGCAAGCAACCATTTAACAATGGGCAAAGGTTCTGGACAGACATTTCTCCAAAGAAGACATGCAAATGGCCAACAAGTGTGTGATAAGATGCTCAATATCACTAACCAGTAGGGAAATGCAAATCAAAACCACCATGAGATATCACTTCACACTGCCACGACGGTACTATTTTTAAAAATAGACAATAACAAGTGTTGGTGAGGACGTGAAGAAATTGGAACCCATGTGCACTGCTCATGGGGATGTAAAATGGTGCAGCCGCTATGCAAACAATCTGGTGGTTCCTCAAAAAGTGGAACATAGAATCACCATATGATCCAGCAATCCCACGTTTGGGTGTATACCCAAAAGACAGGAGTAACTGTAAATAAGCATTGGGCTAAATAGAAATGTTTTCAGCAAAGAAAAGCCATGAATTAGGTGTAGGGTTGCCAGAGTTAGCAAATAAAAATAATTATATTTGAATCTCAGATAAATGACAAAAAAAGTTTTTCGTATAGTATATGCCATGTAATACTGGGGAAGCCACCCACTGATTCGCCCTCAGCTTCCACATGGCTTGGTCCCATCTTTCAGGTCCTGTTCAGGGGCTTCATCATTGTGAAGCCCACCGTGGGGGGCTCCCTCAGCTGACAGGCTGTGCCTCCAAATGAGTCCCTGTAGTGTGTGGTCTGCACCCACCCAACTCACCTGGAAGGCCATGCACCCACCCACTGCACCTGGGGGATGTCTACACCCACCCACCTCACCTAAGGACAGCCTGCATCTGCCCACCTCACCTGGGGGCCATGCATCTGTGGAATGAGTGCAGGGGTGTATGTGTCTGTCCTCGGAGGAGGGTGGAAATGCCAACTGCAGTCCATCTTACCATCCCCAGAGCCCCTGGCATGACTCAGAGTCAGACACTTCCAGGTACTTTTGTCTCTTCCTTAGGCCACCAACTGGGCCCAACCATTTATTCCTGGAGGCTCCTGTGAGATGAGAGCAGGGACCAGCCTCCGACAGCACTCAGGCCAGCTCTGAGGTTTGACAGATGAGAAAACTAAAGTCCAGACGATTCAGCCCCAAATGGGTGCCCTGGCCATTTCTGCATTCTGGGCAAACAGGCTGGAAATAAAAGCACCACAGTGAACGCCCTGGCCCACCTCAGCTCTGCCGGCCGCTTGTGTCCTGGGGAAGATGCCAGCTCAGTGCCAGGAATGTTCCAGACCCGCCCTGGGCCAGGAAAGACTGCAGCTCCAAACCACACACTAGGGACCAGGGAGGGGCTCCCACCCTCTGTTCCCTGCAATGGACTAACTTGGCCCTGCAGGGATCTGCAGGGGGCAGGGCCTGGGATGGCCACCTGGCCAACCGTATGTCCAACCCAGGTTTGGTGGATAGGTGTGGATAGCCCCCAAGCGAGGTGGACAGATGTAGACACACCTCGGGTAAGGTCTACAGGTATAGACAGCTTCCAGGTGAGGTGGACAGGTATAGATAGCTTCTGGGTGAGGTCAGGTATAGACAGCCCCCGGTGAGGTGGACAGGGGTAGACAGATCCTGGGTAAGGTGGGCAGGTGTAGACAGTCCCCAGGTGAGGTAGGCAGGTATACTCAGAACTCTGGGTAAGGTATACAGGTGTAGGCAGCCCACAGGTGAGGTAACTGCTTCCTCCCCTTCTCTCATCCTGTGTCTATGGAAACCACCCACCAGGGGAACCAGGTGCTCAAAGATGGACCATGCTGCCCAGCCACCAGCCACTCACAATATTTAGGAAAATCAGTTCTAACAGATGAGTTCTGGAACATCTGACAGAAGGACTCACATCATAGTGCGCCAATGGGGACCAGAACCTAGGATGTAAAGCAGCCTAAGGGTGTAGTTGATGGTCCATGTAGAGCACCTCTTCCCATAATGCAGGTGGGGGCCTCCCAGGTGTGGCACTGTGGCCAGGTATCCAGGGAGCAGGAGGCATTACTTTCCACAGGGCTGCTTTGCAGGAGAAGACATTTCATTGCTCCTTTGTGCAAACCTTCCAAGGCTCCCTCTCCCTCCTGGCCCCCCGGACTCCCACTCCACCAGGGGCACTTGGCCTCCCACTGCCCTGTGAGCTGGGTGGACTCACTCCCGCCTCCCCCAGCCCATCCCTGGTCTCATCTCCTGGGCTTCAGCTCCAGGGGACAGACCCCAGGCTTTGCCCATTTCTTCCATGGCACTCTTTTTTTTACAGCTTTATCAAGATATAATTTACTTTCTATAAAGTTCACCCACTTAAAATGTACAATTCAACAGTTTTTAGTATATTTATAGAGTTATGCAACCATCATCATAACCTAATTCTAGAACATTTTCATCACCTCCGAAATGGAGACCATGTCCCCATGAGCATCACTCCCGATTCTCCCCCACAGCCCCTGTTAACCACCACCCACTTTCTGTCTCTATGGATCTGTCTGTTCTGGACATTTCAGATAGATGGGCTCATGTGTCATGTGGGCTTTGGGGACTGGCTTCTTTCACTCAGCATGATGTTTTCGAGGTTCATCCTAGAGACACTCTTCACAGCTTACCAAACTTGGTGGAGAAAACCAATAGGT